TTACGGCCATATCACGTTGAAACACCGGTTCCCGTACGATCACTGAACTTAAGCAACGTCGAACCTGACAAGTAGCTAGATGGGTGACCGCTTGGGAATATCAGGCGCTTTAAGTTTGGACGTGCAGGTGTTGTAATGGATAATGGCTCGGAATTGTTAATCGGAGAGCCGAGTTCCAATTCTAGTTGGTTTCCTTATATTCATTTACGCGTAAATAACCTTAGGAAAAGGTATGCATCCACCTCTTCTCTCCCCCATCTATGGGTTAATTAGTAAGACTTGTATCACTTTAAATAATCTGAAAAGGGTTGGTAAGCCGTAGAAAACGAATCAATCAACAATTTTATCTTCTCTCTTCTTAAATCTTGTTCTTTTATTGTCATCTTTCTTTAATAATGTTTTTCTTTTTCTCATATTGTTTCACATTCAATAACCCCCTTGCATCTTAGTGGCTTTCTTGCCTTGCTTGGGGTGAAAATGATAAAATGGTCCTATAATCTATTTATATAATATACAGTATAATCTTTTATTCGTATAATTATTTTTTGAGTGCTGAAAAGTTATTGACCCGAACAACAACATCATTCTCTTTTCAACTGATTTTTTTTAGAATTTGTTCATGTCTGGAACTTTTCAATACATCCGTGTATGTATTTACCGTTATATTGTCAGTCCGTTATGTGTCATGCGTGATACACGCTTAGGCGATCATGTATCTAACGAGGCAGTTTTTTTTCTTCGCAGTAGTTTGCCATTCCTTTCTGCGGTAGACCAGTTGCCATCCAAGGCTATAGAACCCAGTCTGGGGGTGGGGGTAGAAGAAGAGGATTCATACCTTTTCCAAGGGTATTAGCATGTAAGTGACTGGAATTCGAACTTGGCTCTCCGATTCCTCAATCAGAGCCGCTATCCATTACTCCATCGTGCCTCTTGCGTTATATTGTACAATATTTTATTCACAAGTTACAGCATGCTTTTTATCAGTGGGAAATACGCAAAGATTTCGACTGCGAGGTAGAATTTGAATGTCACACTTCTCTTTACACATTCATTCCTTAGTGTCAGTGGGGAATTCGCTCCAGGACCTCCCGCAGAGACCATAATCTGCAGATGGTCAATTCCCTTATATAAAATGGTGTAGCGTGTATATACGTATAGAATTCACACACATCCTCGCGTATACTTTAAAGTACCTTTAGAATACTTATAATGCATAATGCAATGTATACACTATGTAAATAGTTGCAATGCTGTAAATATGAACAAAAACTTTCGACGGGATATTCGCAGCTGGGTAATAAAACGTAAACGTGTATAAAAGCCTTTCATACGAAGAAAGGATTGCAGAAATTTCTACGATAAAAATTATAGCACTCCAAATCACGAATATATATAATTGTGTATTTAGGCAGCAATCCCTCTTTTATACAAGTTTTTTTTTAAAGATGGCTGACAAGGGACAGTAGTTAAACTTTTTATTCAATTTTTCTTGCATTCGTACAAGTATTTTCTTTTCTGGACATAAAATGTGTAAAAACTGCCAAAATGTTCTCAATAGGAGTAGATAGGTTAGTCTATCATCCGCTTCACAATCCCCAACGGTTTTTTGAATACAAGTAGAGGTTTATCTCTTGTTTCCGGTTTAGAATTGGGTTTCCGGTTTAGAATTGGGTTTCCGGTTTAGAATTGGGTTTCCGGTTCCTTTTAAAGTTTTTTCATTCTTTTTTACTCCCAGTAACTTCGTGCGTCTTAGTGGCATTATCGCCTTGCTTGGGTTGGATTAATAAAAAAAAAACAAAAAAACAACAACAAATATCTTCAATATTTTCTCGCCCAAGAATGAAAAAAAAATATGACCGTAATTCTCTTGCGATTAATTTTAATTTCTTTTTTATTTGCCTGGTGGGCTGTCGTCCATGTAACCCCCAAGATTCCCATTCTTAACATTTGTCCCCCTAAAAATTGAACCCTTGAAAAACGGCCATCTGCACTCCGATGGCTGCTGGACGAGGCGAGAAATCAAACATTTGTTACACATACCGCACACTAAGTGTTTGCTTTCAGATAGCGCCCAGCATCTAAACGCCCTCTCTTTCGCAGGCAATCGTCTCCATCCCCCAACAGATATAATTGTATGAGAGCGGGCAGTGGGTGGAGGTCGCACGCAATGACCTCATCCTGAGTAGCACCACCCTATATCAACGTGTCTTCAGATTTCTCTCGTCGCCTGTGTTTATTTCAACATTCCTCCATTCTTCATCTTTCCATCGCTATTTTTTTTTATTTTTCTAACCAATAATGCTTTTAGGGATTACTTGTTGCACAGTAGATAAAAAATAGGTACTTAAATTTGAGTGGTTGCGATTATAGCTATGTTGTTGGGGTTTAAGATGAGGATGTTTTCGTTTTCATCAATAAATGTAATACTATTTATTTTTAAAAAAAATCAAATAAGAGCATTTAACACTTTTGGGAAGTTCTAAGATAAATTAATTTTTTATTCGGTCTAGTTTTCCCGTTGGAAGATGAGTGTATCGTAGTCATAAGCTGAGGTTCGAGGTCAGACACAATACCTAGGTAGACGTCGGTATTTTAGCGACCTTTGATTTTAACCAAGGATTCCAATGTATACGTTTTTATTCGGTCGAACATTCATGAGTCTGTTACGTCAACTATCACGATCCTGCATCAAGGCCGGAAGGTCATTAAGAAGACATTCTGTGTCAAGCTGGACAAAGTATGCGGTTGCTGAGCGACCAACTCATCTTGCTCCATGACTAGGTGTTCAGAACGATAGATCACTAGCGAGTCGTTGTTTTGCACGTAAGCAGTATCAGTAAATATCAGAGATGGGTTCATAGAGCTGTGACTTAGTTGGATGTTGTCTCCAGGGGATAATTATAGATCTCAGTATCCGAATGCAGGTTTCATCAAGCATAGACTGTAGGGTTTTAGTTAATATCCAGGCAGTGGTATTATACATTAAAACCGCCTCAGCAGTGGCTCGAAAGAATCGCCTTTTCGAAAAGGTTGTCTCGTAGACCAGATTTCCAGATTGCATCCATTTTATTCAAGGCCGGGCCGCCTTTAGTTAAGTGAATTTTCGCATCTTTTTCAGTAGAATTTATCTCGCTTCCTTAGGTATGTAAAATATTCAAGAGATTTTAGTGATTCACCTGAGACAATTTGTATTGAGCTTTGCAGGTTGAAGCCTATGAATTCAGTTTTAAGATAAAGTACATTCGTTATTACACACATTTTCTGGGCTTTGAAAAATGTCATGGTGCCTACCTAGGCCGACAGAATGAACTCTTCCGAACTATATATATATTACGCCTCTCAAAAGAGACGATCAGTATTAGTAACAGTATTAGAACGGATTAGTATTGTACGGTATTGGGACGAGTCGAGTTGATAGCAGTCACGCCAAACCAGTCGGATAGTCTTACTAACCCTTTCACTTCTTGTATTATTTTTCTGTGTAATATATTCTTTGTTATTTCTACTGTTGTGTTGTTCTTCCATGATCCTAACTTTGGACCATAAAAAAAAATATATATATATATATATATATCACGTCCATTTAGAACATAGTACATTATGGTTCTCCTCAGATTCCTTTTCTTTATTATCTGAGAATTGCTATGAATTATTGGGAAACGCGGGGTGGTTTCCTGTAGACTCTTCCATGCTTTTGAATTCCGAATGGTCTTTCTCCTTGTTCTGACCTGTTTTGGGGCCAGAAAGAAAGACACGGAAGACTAACGTAGGTTGAACAAGTGTATTGTATTAGGTTGGTGCAAAAATAATGACGTAAGAATGTCGTTTTTTGACGTTAAAAATACGTCAAAAACGACATTATTACGTCATTATTTTTGCACCAACCTAATAATAACAGATATATACAAAGAGTGTTAGTAATAAACAGATAGGGGCACCCCGAGGCGGTGTAATGGTTAGCAAGCTTGTTTCGCTAGAACAATTACGACACAGTAGTGAGTTCGATCCTCACTGGGTGCCCCATACTTTCGGCCTTGTGCCACATCCAAGCTACGCTTAGAAAATCACTTTTGGGCACCCCGAGGCGGTGTTGTGGTTAGCAAGCTTGTTTCGCTAGAACAATTACGACAGAGTAATGAGTTCGATCCTCACTGGGTGCCCCATACTTTCGGCCTTGTGCCACATCTAAGCTACGCTTGGAAAATCACTAGTAATAAGCAGATAGAAGTGTTAGTCCGATCGATCAGGTTACACTGCGTCCCGGCTGCCCACACGCACGTTAGTATTTATGAAAGGAGGAAGAGTTCATTCTACTGTAGGTGGGTTACAACAACACTCCTAGAGTAGCTGTAAATCTGTGTAAAAGACCCCCTAGAAGGTGCTTCGCTGATTACTACAATCTTAAATTCTTCAGGGAAAAATTCAACCGTTATCTATCCTACATATCCCCATACTATACTTCTTAGGGTTTACGGCCATATCACGTTGAAACACCGGTTCCAGCCTGATCGGTATATAGATAGGTGACCGCTTGGGAATACCAGGTACAGCTAGGATGGGCGTGTGCTGTAATGAATAATGACTCGGAATTTTTAATTAGACACCAGAGTTCCAATTTCAGTTGTGTCGTTACGCGCAAATACTATTGGAAAAAGTATGAATCCACCTACCCCCAGCAATGGATTAATTAGTAATATTGTATCACTAAATCATTCACAACAAAAAATACAATCTAAAAAAATTTCTGGTTTTAAATACTCTGCAAAGGGTTGATAAACAGTAAAATAAATTATCAATAAAAAAAAACAGTTCTTACCTCCTCCCTTTAAGCCCATGAAACAACTTGAACCTTGGGTGGCTCTTGGACATTGGATTGGATGAATAATAGTATAGCTGGCGGCTAGCCAACCTGCATACTTTGTTTATACTATGCTGTGCAGACCTTAGTTACAGCGTGATCAACAATTTGAACAAGGTCATCGCGTTCAAGCCCTCGGCCAGTATTTTAAAGAAAAAGGGGACGTCTGTCTTTACGGGTTGTACATTTAATGAAAACTATAGAGTAGACTCTTTAAAACACATCGAATCTACTGTCAGAATTAACCGTAT